AAAAAAAAATTTAATTTAGATTTTGCAGAGTGCCTTTTCTTTACTATTTTAAACTTTATATCACAATTACCAGTTTTATTTTTTACTCTGAGGCAGAAACAAGCTTCCATTGAGCAGGGATTAGATTTGGATATCTATACATACTATTTTCTATTTCTTTTCTATCTATACATACCTTCAGCCATTTCCTGCTTTTCTTCAGTTTCGAGAAGTTATACAGACCGGCCTTGTCACTTTTGTGCTCTGAAGAAGACAGTTTGGGGTTAAAGGTGACTCATTAAAAACTTTTACCCCTAAAGAAATGAAGAGTACTTTTAAAAAATATGTTGAAAATCATACACACACTGGAATGCCTCATGAAAGCCACCCTTTTGAGATCACATGACCAGCTAAATACTACTCACTTCATCAACATTATGAGATAAAATGTACTTGCAGTCCAAGACAGACTCCAATACTTCCATATATATATACAGAAAAATACTTCGAAGAGGAGGTTATGCATTCTTATGTTATACAACAGATAACTTTTTTATTTTATGTATTGTACCTTGCAGCACAGCTCCGTTGAGAGTGCCACAGTCTGTCTCTCCATCTCTGCAGGAGTCCTTGGTCTTGTCCTCAAGGTTGATGTGATCTTCTTTCACTGCCAGCAGTGGGTTAGACGAGGCCAGAGAAGACCCCTCGCCCAAACCATCATCGCTGTCATCGCTTAAACAGAGAAGCACACACAAACACAATCTTAAACAAACCTACAGTGCAGCGTTTCCTATAAAAATCTACTATTAGCTAAGCTATTGGCTTTAGGAATTATGGAAAACTAGCCAAGAATCCCAAACAGGATTGTGACATTATAGTTTCTAAGGATTTTCTAGAGTCACAGAGGTAATGTTGTGACTCAATAGACAGAAGGTCAAAGAGGACTGAATTACCTGGAAATGTTCTGGTTAAAAACAGCAGCAGTCTGCCTTAGAAAGGTGTCTAGGCGGAGGGATCGTTCAAGGTACTGCAGGTGAAGTGGTTTGGCCAACTTTGAGCAAGTGGCGTCTCCCACGCCATCCTGCTCTGAGGCCATAGGCAGAGGTTAAAAGAGCCTGAAATGGCGATCACTGCATAGGAGACAGAAAGTTTGTTGGTTAACACAAAATGAGATTTTGAAGATCACCTGAATGATTTGAAAGCTCTGAAGGTGGAAACATAACTGTGACCAAAGAGCAGTACAGTACCTTTGGAAAGCGAGACTTCATATTTCACAATTTTAACATTCAGTGTCTCACAAATGATAAATCTGAAACAGAAAAGTATGTGATGTTTACTTCAGCATTTACTGATGAACACAGCATATACAGCATTTACATGTGCTGTGCTCTTCTATAGACATGATCACTGTACGATTTATTGCACATTTACAATAAGACTGCATATTAATATTCAGAACTGGACAATAATTCATAGCAACTGACAAATTTGAGCAACTTCAGAATGTGATACTGGCAGTGGCTGAAAGAGAATGAAGTGGATTGAGATTTAACACAGTTGATAGCATACTGAAATGTAATAGCAAATTGATTCCATTGTCACAGCAGTATGTGCCCTCTGTAGGACAGGAGAGGTGCTAACCAATCTGATAACAGCGAGCCTTCTAAGGTTCAGAATCAGCTAACCACAATCTTGTGAACCGCTTTGTTTACTGCGGGTTTTTCAGATGTGCATCTGTTTACAGCAGTGATTACTGTCTTCAGTGTCACATGGTCCTTCAGATATCATTCTTCTTCGGAATTTTTTTTTTTTTTTTTTACTTTTGAATGGTAGTGTATCTACCCATGTAGCCTTTAATGGTTGTGCATCCGCTTTGAGGCCATCTATATTCGTATAACTCCTAAAAGTAGACAAAATTAACTTTTATCAGATACATGTTTAAAATAGTCTTGTCCTTCAGGAAAACAGACAAAGGACATTGATGACTGATCTCGTTTGTACTTTCTCCAATCAGATGCTCACTAGAATGAGAATGTCAAGTGTCCCTAAAAACACCTGTAATGACTGACAAACAGCACACCATGTTTTGTGGCTGTGGTGTAAACTAAAGAATTTTAAAATGGGACCAGCACTTCAATAAGTCCCATCCTGCTTTCCTGTTTTAATAGAAAATATATAAGCATATGAAAAGAAAACTTCACTTGTCAAGTGAGTCAAGATGTAACAGATGTTGCACAGATTTTTTCTTCATTGTGACATACATCTGAGTGAAATGGATCATCATAAAATAAATGTAGTGCAGGGTTCTATTGATCGGTTGTTGACTGAATGCAAATTTGCAGATGACTGTAAGAAAGGGGGCGGGGTTTAAGCTTACTAAATGATTCGATAAATCTGGCATAAATCAACAGAAAGAAGACTGTTGTTAAAAAGGACAAAGTTGACATTTTGGTTAAAAAAAAAAGTCGGCATGATCTGAAAATTCACCCTATTTTCCAAATGCATGTTATAGATCTTATTGTGAGCAATTCATTTGGGCATATGTTTATTTTATTTTTTGGCATCGATCAATCAAAATGTCAACTGGATTTTCTGGGGAAAATTACAGACTTCTCATTGGTGATGTATGCAGGACTTTTCCAATGAATTAGTCCACTTTAACATGAGCTTTCAGGGACAGTTTAGCTCTGCCTTCACTTTTAAGTGCAACGCCCACATCTCAAAATGCAATCAACAACCAATGCATAGATCCAAGTCCCTGCCCAACATGCTTTACTTTTCAATAAATCATTACAGTCAGGCAGAAGTGTCACAATACAAAAGAAAAGATTTTCTACTTCTTCCGTTTCATTGTGACTAAAAAAATAAAAACTTACATGGATTAATGGCTCATATTAATAAAATCAATAACTTGCATTTAAAAAATATATTGAATTTCAATTTTATGCTGACTTTAAGGATTACTGAACTCTTTCTCCAAACCCAGAATATTATTTCTATTAAAAAAATGTGCATTGTTTTATTGGCAATGCACCACTGGAAATGGATTTTTACACATTTAAATCTAGTAATAATTCATCCAACTGGAAATCTAATGCAATACACGATATATAATACTGGTGTATTTGCAGAGTTTGAGAGTTCTGTAAACATAACTATAGCACTGACACCACTAGTGTTTTTAGTGCCCCCATTTAACCATTTCCTGAATGCCATTTAACATACTGTAGCAATGGTCATGACGAGTTACAATGTGTGAAACTATTCTCATCTCTATAGTTTGGCAACTCATATGACTTTAATGCCCGGGGAACTTTGTTACACCATCAATACACGCATGTGTAAATACAGCCAAATACTCGTCAATTTATGGTTTCTTCATTTGCGACAAACATTTATAAACCTAACGCACACTGATGACGATATGAGCGTATCCTTTTATACAAAGAGGTAATGTATAGCGGTGCAAGGTGTCTCAACAAACATTATAAAAACCGGGTAAAATTAAGTTAGTGTACACAATATAATCGAAAGGCTGATGATTCATATCTGACTTAGCTTAGCTAGCACATTAAGCTGGCTAGGTTTAGCTAACGCTAAGCGTTTCAGCAGCCAGTGTTGCTTGTTAATCTAAATCCAGTTACTGTACATGTTGCTAGTTAGCAACGCAGCAATTAACGTTATAAGGTAAACTTGAGTCACAACCACCAAAAATTAGCTTTAATGAGTTTTTTTTTTAAGGAAGGCTATGGAGTTTAGCTGCCTGCTATTGAAATGATAACCGTGTAGAGGTGACTTTTTTTAGCAACGCGATTTAGTATCATGGCAAGTTCTTGATTATTTTGAATAATTGAAATGGGTTCTGTCTCTTTAAGGCCACCACCTCTTTGTCAAATGAAATGTAGGGATATGGTTTAAAATGATTCGTAATATTCTGTGGCCTTGTTCCACGTGAGGTCATGGACCATCTGCCCCGTCTCGTATCTATATGCACTGCGGGAGTCGAGGAGGCCAGCAGATCTGCGATTCCCATATTCTAATTCTTTCTCCCTCCCGGCCATCTTCCCCCATTGCTCCCCCACCACGTTCCTCATAAACGCTAGCTCACCTTGTCCCCGTGTCCGCCGTTTTTGCTCTGTCTCTGTTGCAGCCGACTCGCAGCTCTCTGTCTCCAAAATGGCGGTTGTGAGCGAGGAGAGAGACCGTGAGTCGGTAGCAGCAGAGAGGCGGCCACTTTCAGTAACTGAGAGAACAGGGACACGGCGCCATGGCGAGGACAGAGTGGGGAACAGGCGAACCAATCGACAATAGATTGACGGCTGCAATCTTATAAGCATTTAGGGAGGGTATCATAATAAATTAGTAGTAGCAAAAAGAAAGGAGTAGTTTCGATTAAGAAAGGATAGAGGTGAGAAACTGACTCATTATAAATTAAGCAGGTAATTGGAGGAGAGTATATTGGCTATCGGAGTTCTACTGATTGTGCCTAGAAAAACCGAACGTTGCCGAAGGTCTTATGACGTAACACTTTCCGAATGTAGTCTTAAAATATCGCGTGATTGGGACTTGAAGTAGAATTTGTCACTGTCTTGTTATACATAACACTAATGCAATATGAAAATGTGTAATGTCTATGCAACTTAGTCATTTTGCTTGCCAAATATTATGTCCATAAATGTAAGGTATTAAAAATGAACCCCCTATTTTCTCACTTTTAAAGTGATGTTAGGATCTATAATAAATCTTTATCCATGTCATGTAACAAAAAAAAATTAAACCGCATGCTTCATTTTGGAGTTTTGTATAAATTTTTTTATATATATTTTGAGGGGAGATGTGTTGTATATAAGTGGTCTATATAAAAAAATATAGTTTTATAGATATACATTTTAGCATTTATATATACATTAATATTTATACAATTAACTATTTTTTTTTTTTTTTTTTTTTTTCATTAGGAAAAATGCCCTTCAGTGCACACTTTTGTGCTATTACATCCCATCATATCATAACACAAAGTCTGGTCAAATAGCATTTATTTATTTATTTAGCTGCATACAGTACATTAAAAAGAAAAGATTTTAATTCACTTAACTCAAAATGCAAAATGAAAACAGTTGCATATTAAATTTTGTAGTGCCCACTGGTCTATGGAAGCAAACATACATATAAATCAAAGGCGGCCATTTGTATAGTACATATCTGTTAACATAAGCATGTTAATATTCATTAATTTAGCATATCGCATGTAAAATTCAAAACAAAATACAATTTTCACAATACACAAATGGTTACATTTTTTCAGCATATGTACAATTTAAATCATAGAACTTTAGAGAGGTTTTATTGTGCAGCCCTCAGATGAACTCGTGCAGAAATGTGTCCTTCAGAGCCAGCTGGACATTTCTTGATCAAACTTCGGTGGATCTATGAAAGGCTTGTCGATGGATTTGATCATCAGCTCACCGCAGTAGACACACTCACACGCTATGATGTCATCAATATCTGACTTGATCTGCTCTCTGCTTCCCTGGCCCTTGCCTAAGCTGACCGTATCCTCCTCTTTGGGCTTGTGCCTGGATTTGGTGGTCTGTGTGGTCGCTGCCAGCTTCTTCTGAAGCTCCTCCAATTTATTCTGCTTATAGGCAGAGAGGTGAGGAATGACTTCCTGAAAGAGGCAATCATAATGGAACATGTGTCCACACAGGAAGAGATAGAAAGGTCGGTTGAGCAAGGGGAAATCACAAGTGGCACATTTTTCCTGAGACTCCACCACTCCATACTTGTTCCTCATCTCCTGGATGTCATCACGGATACGTTTGGCACTTTCTGTGGCCTCCTCCATTTCTTGTTTCAGCTCCTCTATGTGTTGGTTGTACTCTTCCAGGGAGTTGCAAATTGCCTCCTTGAAGTGGTCTATTGTAACAAAGTCTGGAAAGAAAGGCAAGATGTCCTCAATCTTAAGCAGGTTGCAACTGGACAGACAGTTCATGGCTTTCTTGACATCTTTCTCCTCCTGAACCACATGACGAGCAATCTTCAGCCACAGCTTCTTCCTCAACTCCTCATCATCCTCTGGAAGGTCAGCACAAGACTTGGCCAAATCTACATCCACCTAAAGGGATAAACATAGACATTATTAAAAAAAAAGAAATTAATGCACAATTATCCCAATATAGATGGTTTTAAGGTCAATGGTTGTGATGCTTTTTTGAAATATATTAATTAATTAAAAAAATACATTAAAATTGCAATTCATAAATAGAATGACTTGACACCTCTTCTATGATGAGAATGTTTCATTTTTTAGTTAAAACTCACTTTTGATATTTTGGGGAGAGTATAAAAAATTTGAGTGAAACAACATAATATCATAATGAAGGAAAAACATCTTAATTTAAAGAATACAATTCTTAAAATAATTGATATATTTTATAATTCCTAGAAAAAAATGAACACAACTGCTTTACTGCTTATTAATATTTGAATATCATATATATCATAGAGAGGACTCCTGCAGACCCTCATGACTGTATGCCAAATTCAAGTCTTTTAAAATTTCAGATAATTTGGCTAGAAAATGCTATGCGGTGCAACAAATAAAAAACACAATATTTATGAATTAATAAATTAAGTAAAAATGAAATAAAATGTTTTTCTTAATTGTGATTAAAAAATATATATTAAAAAAATTTTTGCAAAAAAACTGCAAAGATCGCAAGAAAACAACGTACATCCGAGTGTAACAGGTTATTGTAAAAGAACAAATGTAATGCGGGTATACTCTTAAACAGAAATGAAAAAAGAATGTCAAAGCACACATACTTGTAGAGCTAGATCCACCGCTTCCTCATATAGCTCCATAATCTTGTAAACCAAGACGCAGGCCTGCAGGTACCCATGTTCGGCACAAAGGCGCAAGGCATATTTTAAGTCGTAGTGGATGTCAGTGACGTGGGTTCCCGCTTGTTCAAGGTACCATAACAGGGCATCTGGCTTGTGTTTGGCATAAAGCGACAGTAAGTAATTGTGAATGGCCTCGTCTTTGACGTCCAGCTCATACACACAGAACTCCATGTACCGGATGGTCTCAGTTATCTGCTGCATGCTGCCCATCTGGCTGTAGTTCACCAGAGCTGGGATCAGATTCTTCGGATCCAACCGGTTTCCCATCTGAATCCACGCATCGACCACCTTTTTGGGGATGTGCTGCATGAGGACCGGAGAGAACTTGTAGAAGAGCTTGTCATTGCAGTGTTTGGAGAGGACATCTAAAGCTGCACTGTAGTCATCATGCTGGCAGTAATGAGACACAACACGCTCATAATCTTGCATGATGACCGAGAAATACACCATGTTATCCACGTCGCCGTGGCTAGCGAGCAGGTCGTAGATTGTGCTGCGATTGTTGTAGAAGCAATCTTTATGTTTGGGGCTTTTAAGAAAGGTGCGGAACTCTTCACGGGTCTCTAGAAAGAGGTGTTGCTTGCCGTCGTCGGCCTCCAGCTGACCGAGCCGGTTCAGATAGAGTTCAGTCAGCCAGGTCACCAGCAGAGTGATCTGAGTCTTCTCACTGGGCTTCAAGCTGATCAGCTTCTTAATCAAAAACTCTTTCAAGGCCTCCTCCTGCTTGGCCTCAATGAACTTCAGCGCAATCTCCTCAAAGTAATTCTGAGTGAGCGCATAGCATTTGGCGCTCTCCAGGTAGCGCTTGTTCTGGAAGCAGTGCTCCGCCTCCTTGGCAAGCACCATGTCTAGGCATTCTGGTCGGTCTTTGCAGTACTCTTTCGCCAGATCAAACTTATTCACGTTCATGTACATCTGCCAAACGTCCCGCGCCTCTCTCTGGATGTGGTAGCGAAACACGGCTTTCTCGGTGTAGATCCACACAAGCCCCGTGACGGGATCTTTGATCATCTTTTTTAGGGTGCCGAACTTATCTGTAAATACATCTTCATGTACAACTTGCCCGTTCAGAGTGCAGATACCCCTGATACGGTCAGGAAGCAGCAGCAGGAAGTGAAACTGGGTGAGTACTATAGAGATGGGCTTGACAAAGTTTAAATCGATGTCTGGTGTGTATTCCCACACTTGGACATCACTGAGTAGAGAGTCGGGCCGCACGTAGTCCAGCTGTCCATACAAAACCCCGTTGCCCATCATCCATGCGAAGCTCTTGGGGCAACTGCGCAGCTTTGACGTGTAGAATGTAATCTCACTGTAGCCCATATTGACAGGAAACTCCTGGAAGCTAGGTAGGAGATCCTGGTTCTGAGCAAAGATGGAGCTGAACCCCTGCTGCTCAGATCCCTCCGCCAGCTTTCCTACAAACTGGAACAGCCGTTTTCGTGTGGTCGCAACGATGAAGTACTTGGATTCCAAGCCACGTTCCACTTCGAGGCAACAAACCGGAGCTGGCTTGCCATCCTCCTCCAGGGAATGAACCTGTCTGAAGAACTGGTCTGGGTTGGTGTTGAACAGACTGCCCTCTGAGGCAGAAATCTCAGCTTCAAAGATGATTCCTTGGCTGGTGCCGACCAGAATCGGCCCAGTGTTGGTCTCTGAGCCAATTAATTTGTTCCAACCTATACTTTCAATCAGGTGGCCTCTCCAACGCGATAGACTTCGGACCTTCTGAGTGTTTCTGTTTAGGTATACACATTCGTTTGTGGTGAGGCTGATGACTAAATGTGACCCTGTAAGATAATTGAGAAAATGACATTTTACAGGCTGCAAGTATTTTAAGCAGATCAACAACAAATGACATGTTTTAAAAAGCCAGGCCTGAGCTTTTGATCCTGTTTTCACCTGATATTAAGATTCATTTCGGGTGATTCCATTATTCAGTCAGCGCTAAAAACAAGTGTAAATGGGGTACAAAATGTTCTGTGATCCGATCACTGAAACCACTTAAGGAGGTAGAAATGCATATCACATTTGGATTGTTAAAACTAATCCATCTAATGAGCCTAAACCACCCCTGTGCCGAAGTGTTTTTACACTTTTTTTTTAAATGTATAATTCTATATTTACATTTATAAATGTAGCCTTTCTCTGGTTTATAAATGTAAACATTTTAAAAAGTAATATTTCTATTTAATATTATTCCTATTTTATATAAATAATATCTTTTTATATTTATTTTAAAATATGTAATATGTTTTTATTTACAAACAAATTACTAACTAAAATAAATCAATGAAAAATAAGTCAAGCATTTAGACCAAACTGACCAGTTTAAAATGTTGACAAGCCCATTCACCTGTCAATCAACCACTTAGCCAAACAGATGCTTTAAACTTTGCTGGTTAAACAAAAGTAACCCTCTAATCAAAATAACTTATGACATTATAATTTTATATTTCTAAATATAGGCCTATGGCCTATAAATTTACATTTATCATTTAATTTGAATTAAAAGCATAATTATATAATATTGGACTTAACATGGAAAATGAATGTTATTACCAGATTTAAACGCTGGTGTGTCTCACCTGACCATTTGTGATCGATCACCTGAGACAGAGCTTAATACCAGTTGTAAACAGAGCATTTGTTTCTCTCAATGACACGCATTGGAAAGCTTTACATGATGTAAAAAAAATCATATCAAAAACACAATAAGCATTACATTTATGCGAGTTTATTCTTGTGCATGCGTTTCCAAATATTTATATAACAATTTGAAAATATATGTTGTCCTAACTGAATTCCTCAGTTCACATCCTCTACTTTGGGATGCTTGATTCTTCTTTTGTCATTCTAATTTCAAGGGAAATCAAGTCACTTATGTGTCTAATAATGACATCTAATAGATGTCCCAAATGCATTTAAATCCTCCTACAACAAGGTTTGAACATCGACACGTGATTACCTGTAGGATCCAGGAAAAGTTTGTGCACTTTGCCATCATCCTTTCTTCCCAGTTCAATCTGATTTGGCTGATCAGGTTTTCCAAGATCAATTCTGAAAAGTAATGTGTATGTCTATTACAACATTTTAAATGCTGCTTAAATAGGAATCAATCCTATTTGTTTAAGGCATATGTAATGCAAATCAATAAATTAATAATTGATTAATTACACTAACACAAATAAAAGGCAGATTAAGTGATTTCTATCCTATCCAGCAGATTCGATATGCATGTCAAAGAGAATTGCCTTTAATGGTCCACATCCTCACAGCTTAGTTCTTTCACCAGTATTCAGACATTACATTACACATTAATCACTCATTGCATGTACATAAACTAATCAATGCAAAACTTATCAACCGCCAAATCTGCCAATTAAACAGTTGTTGATAACACAGCCTCTAGAAATGGCAACTTTACCTCAGCAGAGTGTCTTTCCCCAGACTCATGCATAACTGGTTGTTGCACACCGAGAAGTGGTTGATTTTTTCGGGAGGTGAGAAGTCGATGCGCTGCTTGTTGAAAATGGGTTTCTCTTCTTCTAGCCTTACATTCACAAACCCTGTGAACGAAAAAGTTCATGTAAATACCACAACGTCCCCAAATCATAATGTTTGCAATATCCTAAATTGTGTAGGTTTGTACCTGAATGAGTAATCCCGATGTTGGCTGCTGACACACGGCTGTGTTGACGGATATTCTGAGAGTCTTCATATTGATCCAGAATAGATGCCATTGCAAATTATCAAATATTCACAAAACTACAGTACTTACAACAAATACTAAACCTGTGTTTACATTGCAGGTAAAGATGTAAAGTCTCTACCAACTGTTCCCAGCCATAACACGCTAGCATGTGAGCTAAACGTCCTGTTCAAAGGCTGTTTTTACTGCCAACGTCCCCGTTGTGTGCTAAATAAAATATAAAAGTGATCAAATAAAGATATAAAATAAAACTAACTGAGCTTCAAATTATATTTTATCTATCAATAATGACAGCACTGAGAGACCGATCTATGTTGTGTGCATTGCTGTCTTGGTCAGCTGATGAATATATCATGTGATTAAAATGACAAACTTCACTGCTGTTCTTTATCTGTCCACGTAGTGGCGCTGTTTTGTCAGTGTTAGAAATGATTGGGATTATGCTTAATTTGTGTTGTTTATTTTTGTGCTTCTTTTAATTTATTTATTCTGATTTATTTATTAATCTATCATGGCAGTCCAACATCCAGGCCCAAAGACAGTGGTCTAAAATTATACATATTTTTATATATATAATTATTTATTTTTTTACAGATTTTACAGATTTTTTACAGATTTTACAGTGGTTTTTTTACAGCATTTTCATAAAAATGAAAATGCAGACATTTAACAGTATTTTAACATTCTATTTAAATGACCATGGATGCATTTAATATTTAAAGGGTCTTTTTTTTTACTCTTTAGAAAAGGCTTGCAGTTTGTTTCATTGAGATTAATTTGGGATTAAAATCATTAACGAATCATTAAAGGCTTATTTGTGTTCAAACCATAGACTGTAAAAAAAGGTTCAAACCAAAGATTTGTGTCCTTCCATTGAGGCCCGTGAGTCACTATGGTGGGCGTGGCTATGCAAAGTCAAGCTGATTCAAAAGGCAGAGAGAGGTCCCGTCACAGATCACAGAGAGAGTCAATTCAGCTTTTGAGTTGAGAAAGTAATGAGTCACTCATCAGTCTCAACAAAGACGCCAATCAATACTGTGGAGTTTAAAAAGTTTTCCTGAAGACGTTTCATCTTGGCTTTAATTGTTGGACATGCCACCTCAAATGGATTACTTTTACCACGAGTCAAGAGTTCCGTCGGTGTGCTTGGAGCAGGACGACGCGCTGGAGCCTGCGATCAGCTGTATGATGGTTGGGGATGGCGCGGTTGGGAAGACTAGTATGATTGTCAGCTACACCACCAATGGATACCCCACGGATTACAAACAGACGGCTTTTGACGTCTTCTCGGGTAAGTGTATGATCTTTGACCCCTTCTAGCTGATGATGGTTAATTTACAGTAATTAAAGATCGTGAGGATGAAATTTTTTTTTTTTAAATCAAGTTTTTTACTTCTGATTATTCAGGACAAGTTCAGGTAGATGGGACCCCTGTGCGGATTCAGTTGATGGATACGGCTGGTCAGGTAATTGAACAGTTTCATTTAAACTGTTTAGTAAAAAAGAGTTAACATTTTGAAAATGGAAATGTCTGTAAAGTGTAAACTTTGTTTAAAGGTCTGTACACTGTAAAACATTATATGATCAATACGTTATGATAACATGTTTTTACATTGCTTTAACTCCTCAAAATAAGTTAAGCAATTTTCAACTTTTTTTACAAGTTATACAAGATTCAACTCATATTTTAAGTCAGCTTAATGTAATTTAAGTTGAAATGACTTAAACATCCAAGTTGATTGTACTTAATTTAAGGCAGCACCTTTTTTTACAGTGTGAAGTGTAAACTTTGTTTAAACGAATGTAAATCATTCAAAGTTTTACTAAATAAAGTGTCATTTAAAAAAAACGTTAAACAAAAGTCTATTAACTTTGTCAAGTGTTCTTATCTCTCTTTGTCTTTGACTTGCAGGAAGAATTTGATGAATTCAGATCTCTGTCTTACGCACACACGGATGTCTTCCTCCTCTGCTTCAGTGTGGTTGACCCCACATCATTCCAGAACATTACCAAGAAATGGATCCCTGAGATTCGTGCGTGTAACCCATCCTCCCCCATCATTTTAGTTGGAACACAGTCAGACCTTCTGTTGGACGTTAATGTTCTCATAGACTTGGACAGATACAAGGTCCAACCCGTGTTCAGCTCACGGGCACGGAGCATCGCCGAGAAGATCAGGGCCGCCGAGTATGTGGAGTGTTCGGCCCTGACCCAGAAGAACCTAAAAGAGGCCTTCGACGCGGCGATATTCGCGGCTATTAAACACAAGGCCAGGAAGGTCAAAAAACGGAGGCTGTCGGACAGACGAGCTAAAGCTTTTTCCAAATGCAGCTGGAAGAAGTTCTTCTGCTTCGTCTGACCCTGTGGGTCACATTGTGTGAACTGTTTATACGAGATATTAATTTATTTTGAACAATGTGTTTACCTAGGGCCATCTAGCTTTATTTTATGGGCGGAGTTGTTTGATCTGTGGAACTTCCCAGCAAATGTTCCAGTGAAATTTGAGAGGTGTTGCGTTGCTCAACACAACGTTTAAGCAACGTTGGTTTTAATCGTTCAACCTGTTTAAGTAACACATGCTGTAAGATTTATAGACCTATTATGAAGAAAGATTAGAGAAAACTTCTCTTTAAATCATTTGTTGTTCACAAAGAGCACCCACCATATGTAAATGAATGAATTTGCATGAGCTGGTTAGCTGCCTATTCAAAGCTTGAATGGCGCTCACGTGGATGCGTCTCTGATGGTCGAGGGGACAAGAGTGGGTATCTGTCTTATCTCTTTCGTCTCAGCCGCTACTTAGACAGACTCTTTCATATGCAACACCCCAAACTAAAGCCGATGTGTGAGTTGTCTCCTCTTTAGGTGCTTGTGACCAAATAAATCCCACATCACGCTTACAATGATTCAGCCTGTCCTCCTGATAAATCTTAGCTGGGGATTGTCTTGCAAATCGGGAAGATAAGATTATTAGGCTTGTGTGAAAATGGTTTCCTACATCTGGGGAAAATTTGGCAGGGTTGTTCCTGGTCTCCTAAGACGGGTTTAGCGTCCTCTCTTGTGCAAATGTATTGTGAGAACGCACACACCGATGAAAGTATAGCAGCCCAGCCCATTTTGTGGAGCCGTAGCTCGGTTATGTTTATTTTTTTAATCTTTTACTGACAGCATGTACTTCTCACAGAGTAAACAGTGCTGTCTTTGTTATAAATGTGCTTCTTGTGGAAGATATCTTTTTTTTTTAAATGCTGTTTGTTTTTAACAGTTTTACCTGTTCTGTTTTGATGCATCAGGCAAGAAGGATGTATTGCTTTCAACATTTATTTTCTGTTTGTCTTCACTATGGTTTTGCCTTTTGATCAAATTCAAGCAGCACTTTTAAACGGCTTCTCCTTCAGTGTTTTTTTGCATCATCTAGAAATAAATTTAAAGGGCAAAATACATTTCCAATGCTGTTTTTACAATGCAACTATCCTATCCAAGTCCTCTGTTTTTATCCTGCTTTAAGTGTTATATTGTGAACGTTGTTTATTTACATAATCTTAAAATGTTTCTCTTAAATATCAAATAAATGAAAATAACATGCTGAAATTGAATATTGTTTCCTAGTAATTTTTCTAAGATCAGTTAAGCAATAATATTAGCAATTACACTATCATTCAGTGACCTGGTTTCACAGACAGGGCTTCGATTAAGCCAGGATTAGTTCAATTAGGACATTTAAGTATAGCTTTTATTAACGTGCACTAGAAAAAAAACATTACTGGTTTGCGTCTTGAGGCATTTTAAAATATGTCCGTGCAAGTTGCTTTCGGTTAAAACGGCTCAAACATGCATTGTAGTCAGGGACTAGCTTAAGCCGTGTCTGTGAAACCAAGGGAAAAGGTTGTAGTTGGTACAGTAAGAGTTTTTCATGTTTTTGTCTTTTCTGTTCAACAGGGCTACATTTATTTAGTCGTAAAAATAGTTATATAGTGAAATAATAATACAAAATATATTTTAAAATGTAATTCATTCCTGTGACGTTAAAGGTGTCTTCAGTGACCTTTCAAAAATACTTCTGATATGCTGATTTGCTGCTCAAGAAACATTTCTTATTATTATTCATGTTGAAAACAGTTGTGCTGCTTAATATTTTTGTGGAAACCGTGATACATTTTTTCAGTATTCTTTGACGAACAGAAAGTTTAATAGAACAACGTTTATTTTAAATAGAATTCTTTTGTAACTTTATTAATATATTTTCTGTCACTTTTGATCAATTTAACATATGCTTGCTGAATAAAACTATTACTTTCACCAGTTTAATTCTAATTACAATAAACATGTGAATATTTTATTGAATTGATTCTGATTTAAAATATTTAAATGTTTAAATACATTTTTCTGTGGTTTTGAGAAGAAATACTGCTTTGCTTGGACATGCAATGTGCTACTAAATTATAGACATAGCAAACAAATGTTAGAGATCTGAATACGCTCCCCAAACAGCACAAGAACTTGATGTAAATGGTTCTGCAAATATCTTCAGAGGGTGTAAATGAGACACACTGGGAAGTGTCAGGTACTGAAGGAATATTAATACATTGTGAACTCACAGTTCTCTGCTCCGAGGTCTCATGCTGTGACTTTGAGCCGAGCTCAGCTGAATGTGGGAGAGGATGTCACTCACGTACCCTTGAAGTGTAAACAGAAGACAAAGGGCTTGTTGCCGTCGTTTGCACTGTTCAAACTACTTAAATTCAGATTGTTATGATGCCTTGACTCTTTTTTCAAAATCCCATTTCTAAGGCCTAAGATTAAAGAAAAGAAATAAAAATATGAACAAAACCTCCCTAAAATCCCTTTCTTTCTTTCTTTCTTTCTTTCTTTCTTTCTTTCTTTCTTTCTTTCTTTCTTTCTTTCTTTCTTTCTTTCTTTCTTTCTTTCTTTCTTTCTTTCTTTCTTTCTTTCTTTCTTTCTTTCTTTCTTTCTTTCTTTCTTTCTTTCTTTCTTTCTTTCTTTCTTTCTTTCTTTCTTTCTTTTATAGCATTCAAACGTTAAAGCTTTTTTAAAATGTTTAAACTTTTGTTGATGTCATCCATGTTTAAAAAGCCTTGACAAACCTCAAATCAGAACTTTTATCATAACTGTTTAAACTCAGATCTCTTAAAACACTAAACGGTCATGCTGAATTGCCCATAATGCCTAACATCAGTACCCGTTTAAGTGACAAAAGCCACGTAACAAAATTGTCATGGGCAAATGTTTATTGTGCCCATTTGCAAGAGTAAGATTACGGTAAGCCTAAAAACAATGAATCACTTCCACTGTAGGGCTTTACTCATTTGACCCGAAGAGCATCCTGTGAGT